TCTTCGTCTCACAATCGATAGCCATTCGATGAACATCCAATGAAAATGAACTCCTTACTTCTTTCGTCAAGTTTTTTTAAATATCCCAGTGTCTTGGCATAGGCTTTACATCCAAATAAATGAATATTTGAAAGATTTGGTATTTTAATTGTCCATTTTTCTGTTGGAGTTATGTCAACTGCCTCACTGGGTGATCTGTTTAAAAGATATGTAGCCACTCTTGCTGCTTTACCCCAGAACTTCTTGTTCAAACCAGAGTCAAAAATCAGTGCTCTGGCTTTGTCCATTATGCTACAGTTCAACCTTTACCGTTATGTTGAGGAGAGTGGGGTACAGAAAGATCCATTACAATTCCTTTTCTTTTATACCAAGATTTTAGATCTGCATTAACAAAAACAAACTCTGTTCCATTATCACTTCTTACTTTTGACAGTTTCATATTGTGGTGAGCTTCTACCTCTTGGATATACTCCTTTACATATTCGGATACTTCATATTTATTTTGCAATAAATATATCATGGAATAATGAGTGAAGTTATCAAGGAATGTTAGAATGTATTTCTTACCATCCCATGTGATGGGATCGATGGGGCCACATAAATTCTTGTGAACGATTTCAAGAGGGCGGATAACTCAAGTTCTTACATTATTGAAAGGAAATCTGGTTTGCTTAGCTTTTAGGCATGTTTTACACACTGTCACTAGTTTATGAAGATCAGTTTTGCTGATGTCGATTCCAGTTGACATGTCAACTAATCTTTTCAAGTTATTCACCCCCAAATGTCCTAGTTTTTTGTGCCATATTTGTGCCGGATTTTCTTCAAGGTCTGATAGAAAAGTTTGTGGTTGTATATTCAAATTCACCATATAAAGACCATTTTCACCTTTGGTCCCTTCGAGGATTTTCATTTCATCTTTCAAGATAGTCACTTTGTTTTTGTCAAATATCACTTTTCCTTCTTTTCCTGTAATGGCACTCACAGATAATAAGTTTTTACTTAAATCAGGAATGAAAAGTACATCATTCAGAAAAATTTCACTTCCTTCTATTGATCCCAGTCCTTGACTTCTCATATCAAGTCCCTTTTTAGCTACTGAAATTTTTGATGTAGTTTCAGCAAGTGTTTTGAAAAAATCTATGTTATTAGACATATGCGAAGATGACCATGAGCCTACAACAAAAACTCTATCATCTACGGGGTTTTCATTTTTTTCTGTGAAAAATGCTACCTTCTGCATTTTTTTTGGGTCTGTTTCTTCTTTCTGAAATAGCAATCTTGTTCCACATGATTGTTCTTCTTACAGATTGAACAAATTCTTTGCTTATGACAGTTTTTAGCAAAATGCCCCAAGCCATTACATTTGAAACATGTTACTTTTTCTTTATATTTGGAACCCTTCTTTTGACTTTTAGTTGACTCGAATGATACTGCATTTTCTTCTGTAACTTCTTTGAATCTGGGTTCTTCTGCCAATAGCCTTGAGGTGAGTTTAGTTAATGTCTTTTCACTTTTGGGTGTTGAATCCCAGGCTGTGTTGAAGTATTTGTAACTTTCTGGTAACGTTGAAAGGACCTTGGCGATAATCATTTCTCCATTAATATCTTGACTCAAACTTTTTAGTATATATGCCAGGCTTTCAACTTTACTGTATGTAAAGAAATATCACTGCTTTTGTCATATGTTAAGTTAAAGAAATCCTTTACTAAGATGCATTTTTGTTCTTCACTGTTATTGTCAAAAATATTACTGTTTCTCGAATCTCATTGGATGTTTTACAGTTGATAATAATACTGTCGTTATTATTAATTTTTGTGCTTTGACATCTCAACGATTCCATTCTGCTATTTTACTGTCATCAGTAGATGGCAAAACTTCTGTTCCACTAACAATGTCTCATAAAGCATAAGCTTTGAGATAACTGTTATTTGAAACTTCCATATCTGGTACGATTCACTGTTTGTTAGTTTTTAGACCAAAGTCACTGCGTCGTCCTGAGCTGCAGTCGCCATTTTGTTTTTAGTGATTACTGTTTTCAATTTTTACGATTGCTTACTTTTACACTTCCTGCTTTTAACTGAAGGGTGTCTGGGCTGGTTTTTTACTTTCAAATAGACACAACTTCAAAATGTGATTGGTTTTATTAAAGAACGAACTGAAATAAATAAGAAATCAAACTTTTACTGTCTGTCAAACAATGCAACTTCATTCTACTACACTCATGTTGCCATAGCACTCAAAAAACAAAAAAATATTTTTCTGCTTCGTCCCAACTATCGAAATATGACAGAACACAAATTGACTTAAGACAGTTTGTATGTTATGATAACAGATGACAGCAAGTGTGTTAGATTCCACAATTATGAAAAAACATAAGGACAGTTCAACAGAAATTTAGTACAATGTATTATTCGAACTAGTATATCGATGTTTGTTGAAAATGGTTTAAATTTTTACTGGTTTTTTGGTGCAAAATTGATATTTCACTCTGTATGTAAGTTCAAAATAAGAATAAATAGTTGACTAAATTATTTAATGCTGAACAATTAAGTAATACAAATCTGTAAGTAGTACAAGTACTCTTCATGAGGCTAGAACCATAAGAAAATGGATTTTTTTGTTTTGTTACATAGGTGGCTGTGAATTCAAATCTGAATATTGTTTTCAAATTTGAACAACTTTTCAAAATTGAACTTTTTTAATAATGTCGAAAATAAGGATAGTTTACTAGAAAATTTAGAATTTTGACAACTCAAATCCAAGTTTCTCGCAATGCACCAATTTTTATAAGAAATAAAATTTTCTGACAAATGGATAATAAAAAAGTTTCCCATATGGTGCAAACTTTTTAAAACTCACTGTATAATTTGGACAATATACCAATTAACTTTTGGCATTGTTGTGGGATCTTCAATCTTAAATAAAGAGGTTTTTCCTCCTTAGTTAAAGACGCCTTTACCTAAAAAAGCAAGAAAAATATTCTAAAGAAATAATTGTTTTATAAGGTTGATACTGAAAAAATGAAGAAATTTATAACTCGAACATATTCTCAAATATTTGGAATGCTTCAATATATTGAGCAAGTCAACTGGATATGTACTGGCAAAATCACGTTGCTGAAATATAAAAGGTAGGTTCTCAGAAACTCAAAACTATTTCAAGCTAGAAAGTTGTGCTTAATAAAACTCAAACTCGACCTTTTTCGGAATATTGATCACATACAAGCAGTTCCGCCACTAAGCATACTCTGCGATTCTATCCAGAAAAGATCCATACATCTAATTAGGGACCCAAAAATCACATATAACCTGTATAATCGGGAATATCTTCTGCAGGCAATTTCTCGAGAAATGTTAGACTGACTTAGCTCTCTTGATTTTCCCCCAAAGCGGCGTGTATCAGGAATATGTGGTAAACAAAGCTGACCATTACTTTTAGCTTTGACTCAAATTATTGGCTTGCCGAGCAGCTCAAAACTGGCTGTGAAGCCAATGCACACCACCTCACCTGGTGGAGCACTGACACCAATGAAAGAGATCATATCCTATCAGTAGGTCAAGCTGGAAACTTGTTTCGATCAAATAAACTTTGCAGTACGAAACTGATTGCTGGGAGCAATTATTTCTACATACAGCGGATATTGTGCCACTGTTAAACGAAGATCAAACAGGTATGTTTCTTGGAGGATGAAGATTTGGCACCGATGAGACAGCGAACTAGAAAAACCTTCAAAAGTACAAAGAAATCACGTATCTGGGATCGATAAAAACGGTCCCTAACTGAATACAACAAAGTCTTGAGGAAATTTAAGCGAGAGTTATGGAGAAGGCAACGCGAGGAGGTCGAACAGGCCCAAGTATGCGCCAGACTCTTTAAAATACCCTCAATGAATAAATCTGAAAACAAATACCGAGAAGTACACGGAAACAGGAGGAGAGACTATAAGAGAGCTTCTCTTTCCCAGATAAGAAATTACAAACTCAACACTGGAATCCTGAACAGTAATGCTCCAAAAAAGAACTGGTACGTCTTCTCAAAAATATTGTGCATAACCCTCTGAACAAGTTTGGCTCTGGGATACAAACCAAAAACATGAAGACTGATTCCTCAAGGACGGTTTTATCCTCATTGTTATGGAACCTTGTAATGGACCTCTAAAACTTCAAATTAAGTGGACAGAAACGCCTGGTACACAAAAGGGTCGAAAACCGAATATTGGACAAAAGCTAGAATTTATTCTGCAGAGAAAAATCTTTGTTTCAGTTACCGACTTGGTCAGTACACATCATTCTAAAGGTTGAAGTGCATGCAATCTTGCAATATGCATTGAATATTAATTTGAGGCCTTAATGAAATGAGCGGATCAATATTTTCAAAGATATTCAGGGTACCCTTGAGGCACTGATGAACCTAAAAGTGACATCTAGATTAGTCTGGGAATGCCAGACACATCACTGGTCTTGAGATACCAAAGTCTTCGGCAAGGAACCATATTGATAAGTGGGACTCTAAAAAAAAATCAAGGTACTGGAAAAATACACCCGGGAACACATACGTAGAAACCTTTATCAAGAGACTGCCCAAGAAAAGAACTGAAGAACTGATTCATTGAAGCAGGGATTGTCTTAGAACCATACACTGCTATTCATTGGACACTATCCATGAAGAGGACACCTAAACAATATATGGCTGTTCAACAAAGACATCAGCTACGAGCAATGTAACAAAAGGACAAAGACAACTCATTATATTTTATGCAAATGTGAAAAATTGAATCACAGGAGGCAAACAATTCATGGACAACCCCAGTTATATCCAGAATAATATGACATACATCCAGCAAGACACCTGTACAAATTAGTACAGGAAACAAGAGTGTTAGAATGAATGTCATGAAAATAGATGCCCATAAGACTACAGAATTTCTGGAAACTTGGAAGAAATGGATAAGTCAGACAGCTTTAAGTAGTAGGGTAACAAATTAATACCATTTCACTTACCGTGGCAGCTATCACCAACTTGAGTATATCCCTCATCACAAGAACACTTGTAGCTTCCTTCCGTGTTGATACAGTTTTGTTGACAAATGTGTTGGCCAGTTTTACATTCGTCCAGGTCTCTACAGGTTAACTCGTCTGGGTTTAACAAGAATCCAGATGGGCAAGAGCATATGAAACCGCCTTCAGTATTTTGACAGTTGTACTGACAATGTGATGTATTAGTAGCACATTCGTTGATATCTAAAAAATGAGAAACAATAAGATACAAACTCCTGAAGAAAAAGGCCAACTAGTCAGTAACTTGTCATATTCATGTGTTTTGCCTACCAATAAGTATTTTCTATTGTCACTCCTTACTTCATATCCTACTGAGGTCCAACTTTCAGTTTATCAATTTTTTCATTTTGGATTTATTTAATTTGACAAAATGTATAAATATGTCAAGTTTCAGGTTTTTTTTCGGAATAAGAAGTAATGAAATATATACACTGAATGGTAGTATACAGTATTTAAATCCATACTGAGTGGTGAGAGCTGTACGTTAACAGGGCCTGACGATAAACTAGTTCCGTGAGCTATAAGGCCAACGTGTTAACCTTATTATGAAAGATGGCGGCTGGTGCCTAAAGTCTTGGCAACATGGCGTTTGTTCCACTTGAATTAATAAGGTCAATCTGAACTTCTATAATTCATTTTTCAACACTTAGAAGGCAAAACCCTGCCACTTTCATATTGATTAAATCTTCATGTATGGCATGAAGAATTCAAAGAATTCATGATAAGAAATTCTCAAAAAAGTATATTCTGGAATTGAAATACCTGAGTTGATGTTCACATCAAAATAAAACTTATGAGAGCTTATGTAACTAAATTTTGATCTATTCCTCAATAACGGTGAACTAAAATCTTTTAGAAATCAGAAATAGATTTATTTGAAATAGATATCCTAATATACATAAATATTATACAAATATATCAGTTATTAAACAGAATTACAAAAAAACTGAAATATATAAGACCCTATATGATGGAATATATTGGGTAAAACAAAGCAGTAGTAGATGATGAAGAGATTAATAGAGAGAAGAATGATGAACAACTCAATTGGAATAGTATTGTGCCCGTAGGTATTGAGATAAGGAGCGTTTGAAGAGTTGAAGGGTGTTACTTTGTTTAATTTCATTAGGAAGCTTGTTATAGTCCATGAGTCCTCTGTGAAAAATAGAATTCATTGTTCTTGCAAGGTTAGTTTGTGGGACAACCAAGTCATCTATCTCTTCCTCTTGTATCGTATTTGTGTATCTGATGGTTATATGTAATAAACTCATTGAAGTAATGTGGTGCTTTTCCAGTGAGTATTTTGAATATGAATATCATAGAATATCATCCAATTCAGAATATTAATCATTGATAATATAGGAGTATATTTATGGCGTTTTAATAACAAGCGCATTCCTCTGTTTTGTAATTTTTGTAGAGGAGAGATAGAATTACCGTCTAGTAATGATATCAAATGAGCACAGTAATCAAAGTGTGGTAGGATTATTATTTTATAAACAGTCAAATTAGATTGGAATGTTAATTGTCTACTAATTCTAGTAAAGAAAAATAATTTTTTAGAAATTTTATTACACATATACTGGAAGTGTTTTTTTAAGTTCAAAGTGTTATCAACAATGAAGCCTAGGTATTTGAATTCTTTCACAATTTCTATAGTTTCGCCGTAGATCTGAATATTGATGGAGTTGATATCAATTAAGTTATATTTATATTGTGTTGTCAATATCATAGCTTTCGTTTTAGTGGTATTCAGTTCGAGTTTGTTTATGTTCAAGAACTTCGCCACGTTTTCAAGAGTCAAATTAATTTTGCGTACAGCATTATGAGTATCATAGTCGCTTGCTGCAATGAGAGTATCATCTGCAAAGAGTTTGATGAATTCACAGTCACTAATAAAATTTATGTCATTCAAATAAAGTATGAATAAAACAGGGCCAAGTACACTCCCTTGGGGGACCCCGGTATCAATTGGTTTTTGGCTTGATAGGACGTTGTTTATTTTAGTACATTGAGATCTGTTGAGTAAATAACTTCTGAACCATAGCAACACCCTACCAGTTATTACATAGTACTCTATGGTTAAAGGCTTCATTTGCGTTGCATCATTTCTAATAAACCATGGACAGCAGTAGCAATTGTTTCAGATAAAAACGTCCTTTATCAAGGACTGTTTTGATAGGTAAGTGAGACTCACTTTTCTAAACTTTAAAAAATATTACACAATCATGATGATACAACAAAAAATTTGGTTATCACACAATACCTCAATAACTTTACTAGAAAAATATCAAACTCTTCAACTAGTGACTATTGTAATTCTGAAACTAAGATGAGTTTATATTTTTCTCTACCAGTTGATATCAATGAAATATCAACTGTTTCTTCTTTAGTTTATTATGAACCTTCGGTAACCTAATGAGTAAATCTGAGGAAAGAAGGAAGTGTTAAAGCAGAGTTTCAATTTCGATAATTGATTCTAGTTTTTTTTTTAATGATAAGTTTCATGTTTCTATTCAAATATTTTGATTGAGTCTGGAAATAAAGAATTAGTTGTTTCAAGTTTATCTTACCCAGACAGTATAACCCAGATGCATCTGGTTTAAATCCCTTATTGCAAATGCATCTATAAGATCCCATAGTATTGATACATTGTCCATTGCGACATAAATCTGGTATAGTTTCACACTCATTGATATCTGAAATTTATAACAAAAGCTTTTACTACTGATTTTCTGTCATAACTATATATGAATTCAAACAAATATTCATTCCAGATAATATTCAAATTTTACCTTTTCCATCGATCAAAAATCCACTATCCAAACACAAATCTTGATATTGAGGTGTATACCTAGATGGACATAATTCACATTGAGGTCCCCAAGCTTCACCCATTGAACAGCAACAGTCAGCCATTGTTGATAATCGTAGTTCATTATTAGGAGTCCTGCATCTTCCATTGAATAGTTGTCTATAGCACATTCCTTGTCTTCTATCTAAAAGTGAACATACCTATATAGTGGTACAAAAATTCATTATCTACAAAAAAAAATTGATACATTTGAAAACTAAGAAAAGAGTAACTGAAAAAATTCAATTAAATATCTAAAAAATACCATAAATATTCAAATTGGTTGATGAAGAAAAAAATAACACCAAATGAGGAGAAATAGAAATTTTTACAGAAAACAATTTTTTCTTGACATATATTAAATCAATAAATTGATTTAACAATAAGTAAAATGTCGATAAGACACAAAGAATGAAAATAAAAGTAAAGAAAGAAGATGATGAAGAATGAGAAGAAAACAAGGATAGGCATTCAAACTAAGCTTCATCATGACGTTTTGATTGTTAGTATCCACTATCGTCATAACTGAAGACGACTGTGAATAAAAAATGTTTCTTCTATACTTTAATCTTGTCACTTTTCATCATTTGTCTTCAATTTTTATTTTTATTATTTGTATATTGTTGACATTTCACTTAATGTTTAACCCATTTATCAACTCATTTCAGATCACAATAATTAATTTTTTTACAAAACGACTGACTCATCCTAATATTTTGGTTCAATTCAATTTCAAATCCGAGACAGTGGAAGTCCGAACCTTCAACATTTGAAAAAATATTGCCATACAACTTATATTATCAAACAAGTAGAAGCCTCTTCTTGAAGTATTATCAAATTCTTGAATTATACTTGCCTAAGCATCTTCTTCCATCTGTACTTAGTTCAAATCCATCGAAACAGTCAATTGTGTACACAAATTTCAATTTGCAAAAAGTATATACAACATCTTAATCCATCGATTAGATCTGAGTTAATAATGCACCATCTGCAACTGACATTGAATGTTCAATATATGCGGCTATGAGACTACTAGAATGAGACCACTAGACCAAGTGATTGAGTTAGTATGCTTTTTTATTATATTGCGCCCTTCTCTTCTACTGAGATTAACTTTGTATATATTTTGTACTGTGGTACAACTACGACTATTCAACAAATTTGCAATCAAGTTTACAAGTGAACTATACACCATCAGCAAGAAACTTCTAAATCTTTCCAATGTGAACAAGTCAGTATGCTTTTTCATCAATATTGTGCCCTCCTCTGCAAAATACTTATATACACACCTGTGGAAACTGAGGTCCCTCATTATTTACGAATAGGTTAAAATATTTGTTCAAGATTTCTCCAACTAATCGTACCTATTATAAATGTATTTGAACGTATTTGTTATAGTTCAACTAAATGTTGAAGTAACTCATTGTTATGCAACACAATGTATCTATCTGTTTGAAAATATTTCACCAACTTACGAACGACAACCCTCAAAAGTCGAAACTCGTGAGCGCCAGAGATTAACGAAGTCATGCCTCACAACACGCGATCCCTAGCACAGATTGGATGATACACTTCGAAAATCGATTGTGTGGCCGACAGGTTTAAACCATCTTTTCACATTGTGATCGACTTAATGAGTAGAACAATAAATATCATATTTACCTATTTCCTCTCTATTACTAATAAGTATGAGGATTTCACTTTTCAACAGTCACCTATTGAAATGATAGACCTTAACCTAAAGTCTTGCCATCTCCTACCTTGAATCTGTAACTTCTCTCATTCACACTACTGTTCGAAAACATCAAAACATACATGTACTTATCTTATTATGTACTTATGTACTTATCAAACTAGCATGTTACAATGAAACATATATCTATTTGAGACTCTATGAAAGAAAATTTTGAAAGTACATACCTGTACAGTGTCTACCATCGGGAGCTAAAGCATAACCATATGGGCAAATACATCTGAAGGACCCAGGTACATTATGGCATCTGAATGCACATTGGTTTCCAATTTCGTGGCACTCATTGACATCTTCACAAACCTTAGAGTGAAAACACAGAGTGATTTTTTCATTCAAAAATATTCAATGAAAGTCTCAAAATCAGATAGCAGTAGCAGTATACAGTAGATCATATAACAGGTTAACATATAAATGCTTATCAGCTCAAAGTCTTACCATTTCCTACTGGTATGAAATCTTTATATTTGTGAGGTTGCAGTTAATAACTGGGTTATTACAAAGAAAACTGTGTTATATGTTTCAATGTATTTCACAATTTTTTTGTAACAGCCCAGCTATTGACTGCAACCTCACAAATAGAACCAATTAAGATTACGAATAGACGTTTATGTGTGTGTTTAATCTAAACCAAAATGAGAACTCGCTGATATAACAAATCTTAAATACGTGCCATGGTTTGCCTACATTTAAACAGATTGATGATTGTAGATGATGGTATGGATAAAAATTGCCAGACTACTGAGACAGGTACCTACTTATAATCATTATATCAAGAAGTACTCACTTGTAATGGTCCAGGAGCAAAACCATCTCTACAGCTACACTCAAATCCACCAATAACATTAGTACATGTTCCATTTCCACATACAGTGGGTGAACTGACACATTCATTGTCATCTACACATTTCTTACCAGAAGAATCGAGAACATATCCCATAGGGCAATCACATCGGAAAGAGCCATCTGTGTTAACACATTCACCTCCTTCACATACATTAGGCATCAGTTCACACTCGTTTAAGTCGCTTCCTGTATCCATTCTGCCTGGTCCTTCAGGACACATCCTCAAAAAGTCAGCTGAAACATTAGTTGATATAAAAATCTGGAGGTCTGATGACTTTTGGATAGAGTTTTGACTGATCTGTAAAGATGAGCTTTTACTTTTTTTGGTACATCATAATGATTTCTTTAGTACTTTAAAGAGAGTCGTTAATAAATAGTGATTAAAAGTTGGTGTGGATGAGAACATTCTTAGCGCTGTTCATCGTTCTTATGCCACACTTTGCTATTTTCAGACTTTCAAAACCATCTAGAAGTCCATTGTTTTGTACTGGTCTCAAAAATTCAAGCAATGATCTTTTATTGTACGGCCTTTCTTCACACATCAGCGTATATCTTGGTTCATATATTTTGAAAGGTTATCTAAGATATAATTTTACTTACAAATAAAATTGCCAAATAGCTACCAACACATCGAAACTCTCTCGATTCAATAATCAAGTTTGAGAGTGATGAATCAAATGAATTTATGAAGAAAATTGAAGTTTCAAGATCGGAAGATTTCAGTATCATTTGATATATATCTGTTGTTTCTAAGTGGGTTTATACCAAAAACAAAATAATATGTGAAGAATCTTGTTAGGGTAATTGTCTAAGTAAGAGTTCAAAAACCGTTTGTACATATAGCATGAGAGCACAGTAATAGGAAACCAACTGTCTTCTTCATTCATAAGCAGGTCTCAACTCTCAACAAGTCCCTGAATTTTAAATTTACATATAAAATTTCAATACCATGAGGAGGTACCATTCTCAGATGTCTAAGCTATAGGAAAAGCCCACAAGGGTCGTTTAGTATTTTACATATAGGAAGGATACTAGTTCTTTCAGATGTTTCTGACAAATCCCATTGCCTATAACAAAAAATAGTAGAACTTACTTGTTCATAGTTTTTGATGTACCCCCTAAGCAAGGATATGATATTGAGTAAAATTTTATCAGGAACAAATCTGGAAGTGATGGCTATACTTTAAACATAGTCGACAAGTTAGTTAAGAAACATAGATTCAGAAAGTGTCTTCATAAATCTTTTTTAAAAAAGCAATGAATCAAAAATTACTGAAATTCCAAATGAACCAAGATATACCAATGAGCTAAAATTGCTTTCAACACTACTTATTCACTTCGACAAGGGTTAAACAACACAAAACACAAAATAATGGAAATCGAAAAGTGGATTGACAAAATTAACTGTGTAAAAAAAGTGTATGTTCGTCAGACTAAATGAAATATCAAGATTGTATTTAAAAAAAAATTGACTGAAAATTGAAGTTTATCTTATCAAATATGAATAGACTGAGTCACTGCGTGGAAATCATTTTTGTTGATAAATCACGCATAAAGAAGAGTGTTACAGTTTTGGTGTAACAAAACTGGATCATTTGGTACTATTATGAATTAGAAAATCAATGAATATTGAAGAAACTCTAATCACATCCTCTAATCAAAATGGCTTCCCAAATGGAAGTCTATCATGAAAGCAAGTACTTAATTTTTGCGAATTATCAACAACTTGTATGAAATTTTATATGAAAATAATAAATATACTCACGTGAACCTTCCACTGGACATCTTTCACAGAATTTTCCCCAAGCAGCCCCTTTCGAGCAACAACATTCCTTGGCAGTAATACTCATTCCTCTAGGTTCAGAACACCTTCCACCAATGAATGAGTCATAGCAATGTTCTTGTCTTACATCGATACATTTCATGGTTGCTTGTTCCAAAATGAACCCTTCTTGACAAGTACAAAAAGCACCTCCATCAGTATTTGTACAAATACCATTTTCACAAATATCAACGTTCTCCACACACTCGTCTATATCTTCACACACTCCCGTGATGGAACTCAGTTCGTAACCTTCTGGGCAACTGCACATGAATGATCCCATTACGTTAGTACATTTTCCTGGCGGAGGGCATGCTCCAGGGGTCTGCAATATCAAAGTGATACAAAATGTATTGAAACGTTTATTTCAAGCAGATAAACATTTCCAACAGTGGCATAGCTGAGAAATTGAAAAAAATCACTGAAGAGATTTTGTATTCATTCCATCAATATAATTCAACTACAATGTTGACGAAACCATAATACAGATCGTTTTCAATATATTCTAATTATATTTTTGTGATTAAAGCTGATGGTCAATATTTATTCATAAATATTTCGAAAAATCCTTTCAGTTGGTAAAGTACTTAAACAGCATTGTATATGATTTTAATTTGCCAGATGTCAGCTTCTTCTGTAAACGCATCATGAACCTCTGCATCCACTGGAACCAGTTGTGCTTTCAAGAACCTATATTCTATCCATCTAAGCAACAGAGTGCTACAAAACATTATCATGCATAGTGCCCGTGATCTCCCAGACCGTGTAGCTTGTACAGAGTCACACTAAGGAACCAACGATTTTTTTTTAACAATAAACAGCTGACTTTAAGATATCTTTTTAGGTGGAATGAAGGGACAGAAATTAGCAGTTTCTTCAGCCGTAACAGTACNTAGGTGGAATGTAGGGACAGAAATTAGCAGTTTCTTCAGCCATAACAGTACCTGACATTTTAAAAATTTTAATCTTCAAAATATCGTATATGTACACACCACATGTGTTAAAACGTAACTCACCACTTCGACCCTGTAAGATATACCTGAATAAAATCCGCCAGCAGATTGCAGTTAAATCTAATTGGCCAGCGTAAGAAGGTCTCTTCATTTTACCCAATATTGGTGATTATGTATTGATGACGCATCTATCAATGCTTGGGTTACTTTGTTTTTTGGATAGACAGAGCTTCCTTAGGTGGACATAATCTTTGATAATATCTACCGAAGGTAAAATAATATTGATAAAAGTTCATTAAAAGTTTCTTACACTCTTTTGCATCTTTCTGTATATTCCTGATGAGCAGCTTCTATCCAATCACACCAATGGGAGGCAGAATCGCCACTTCTACCAAAAATCCCATCCAACTATAATCCCTCATATTTTAAGCATGGAAGGCTAAATGCTCGTGGTTAACTCCATATAGCATGCATTCTCGCTATGTATTTTCTTTGTGCTTTGTGATCTCATAATAATGCAATAGATTATCTCTTCAAAGTGTCTTGTGTCATTAAAGTTAGTAACAGTAGGTCAATCATCATCATTATAGATAAATATCGTCTCATCTTTTTTATTTCATAATGATGTTTCGAAATGAATCCATGGTTGATCTACATCACATACTACTAAGTACATACTGTGAGACAACTGAAGTTCTTCGTTAGTTTCCTCATCATCTTTGATTATCTTTTTTTTAATACATTGACTTGTAGCTTGGTGCAAATCAATTACACCATTCATGATAATAATAACAAATTTTCACAATATATCATTCATTTTCAATAGGCGTTTCACTACAACAATAGCTTCCTTAGGTGGACATAATCTTTGATAATATCTACCGAAGGTATAATAATATTGATAAAATTTCTTTAAAAGTTTCTTACACTCTTGCGAGCAGACATTTCCTTAGATCTTACAACTTCGTGATTTTTTTCATAAAAAGCAATTGATACGGAAAATTATTGTTATTTCTGGAATGATTACATAGTTTTATTGCGAGCAGACATTTCCTTAGATCTTACAACTTCGTGATTTTTTTCATAAAAAGCAATTGATACGGAAAATTATTGTTATTTCTGGAATGATTAAATAGTTTTAACACTAATGAATGCTGTTTTGAATACTATTTTGTTAACAAAATATTATTTTCTTGAGCACAATTTACATGTGTTACAGTGTAAATTACGCTTCAGGTTATTAAAAAAGATTAAAGAAGTACTTACTTCCTGACATTCATCAATATCTCTGCAGTTGTGTTTATCATGAGTTAAAATATATCCTGAGGCACATTCACAGTAAAATGATCCCAAATTGTTTCGACACCGTCCATTTCGACACAAAAATGGCATCATGTGACACTCATCTATATCAACACAATCATTGTTATTACTCAATTTGAATCCAGCATTACAGTGACATCTGTAAGTGCCGACCATATTAATGCAGCTGCCATTATTACAAATATTTGGATGCCTTTGACATTCATCAATATCTAGACAAGTATCACGTGTGGATGTAAGCAAATAACCAGTTGGGCATATACACTGGAAACTACCTTCAAGATTCTTGCATTGACCATTTTGGCATACATTAGGTTTTTCTAGACATTCATTGATGTCAACACAATCCACGAAAGTGCTTCCATGTTTATATCCCTCTGGACATTTACATTCAAAGCTGCCCGGAAGGTTGATGCACTGCGCATTGCCTTCACAAGGATTTCTCAGGCATTCATTGTCATCAATACATTGATGAGAATTTTCATCATATACATAGCCCCTGTTGCACATACATTCAAAACTTCCAGGAGTATTCATACACTGCCCATGCTTGCACATAGATGGCATCAAGTCACATTCATCTATTTCCACAGTTTCATTAGTTATCGGGTTGACTATCTGACCAGGTCTTGCACCACAGAGAGCTATGTAATCACCTGAAAAATTATTACTTAGTATTCATTCTACTGAAATATAAATCATGAATTAGAATCGAAAGTAATTTATACCTACTGGTGCCTGCAATAGGACAAGGTTCACATGGCTGACCCCATGCCTGCCCCATAGAACAACAGCATAGTTTCTTTGTTTGATTTTGTGTCATCGGAGTTGAACATCTCCATCTGCTGTAGTTGAGAAAGCATATATCTTTTCTCATGTCAACACATTCACCTAAAAAATGTAAAGATAAAGTTAATATGTTAATATCATATAAAAAATACCTATAAGAAGTTATATATTCTTGTTGTGTTCGAGTTGAGAACATTAGGATTAACATGTAAACAGATTTTTTATTTTTTGAAACTATACAGAAAGTGTTGACTTTCACACCTAGTTGATATCTGTGTTGAAGCTATGTTCCGTGTTTATTGGCTGTGATATGCAGATTTTTTGACTGATGTTTCATCTACAACTGATGATGTAATGGATGAAGTAGGTACTGTAAACAAATATGTGGCTTCGTCGCCTACAATAATTTCTAACTCAGTTGTAGGCGAAACGTCAAAAAACCTGTAGATCACCGTCAACAAACATGGAAAATATTTTTGATACAGTTATCTATAATGTTCCTTATGATATTTAATTGATTTTCAAAAACTTCGCTGGAATATGGAAATTTTATGGAGTATTATCAAAAATACCCATTCAAACAGGAAGGTAATATTATTTCTAAAATATTAAAAGATTAATCTAACTCCAGACGATCGTTAAATGTATTTGCTATGAATATTTGTTACATTAGGTAATTTTCAAAATAATGGTCAAATATTGAAAAAAATAGTGGAATGGTTTTCAAGTGTTTAATGAATAATATACAGATATTCTGAGATACTTTCAGAGGTAAATGCAATATTTGCGTGAAAATTTGTGATCTGTCCTTCACAGTAATCGTATACATTTATTGTTATAAAATATCACAATTATCTCTTAAAGTAAAAGATGTTTGATCTTTAAAAGTTGTTTTGAAATGTTTCGGATAAAATTGAAAAATAGGAAAGTTGTTTTATCTAAATTTTTTGTATCTTGCTCGACTGAAAATATCAGAAGAGCTTTCTAACAGTTTAGGAAATGAGAGAAAGAAAAAGGTTCAATTCGTAACCTCAATATTACCCAACTGATTCCAAGAGTGCCACAACACAATTTCTGGGATTTTTCCTCAAAATGGGTTTTTTATCTCAATAACTCCAAGGCTACTGAAAATATCAAACTTGACCTAGAGTACATATGGGCACTAGAAAGTATAATTATTTTCCTGTGAAAATAACAGTTCAAGAAATCTTCCGAGAAAATTCTTGAATTGACAGAAAGGCAATTGTAGTGCTAATCCCAACTAGCTTTTAAAATAAAAGCTCGAAGCGCTCAGAGCTTTGCTGAGGCATAAAGCTAACTGAAGAGACGAGGAATCACACATATGGGCACTAAAAAGTATAATTATTTTTCTGTGAAAGTAACAGTTCAAGATATCTTACAGGAAAATTTTTGAATTGACAGAAAGGCAATTGTAGTGCTAATCCCAACTAGCTTTTAAAATAAAAGCTCGAAGTGCTCAGAGCTTTGCTGAGGCATAAATCTAACTGAAGAGACGAGGAATCACGTAAGCCATCTCATGATTTGTAAACATATGTTTCAAATATGATTGGAAAGATTATAAAAATGTCAAATGAATCAATTGTCATTCTAAAAAACAATGAAAAGTCTTGTTTGATATCTTTGTATTAGTCTATAATTAATAACTAATAATAATAAAGCTAATGACAATCTGAAAAACCAATAAAAAGTCTCTTATTCTTTTGATATTATTTTGAAATCATTATTTATTATATTCATTGAAATGAACAAGAATCATATCTTAGCCAGACAAATACAGAAGAATGTCATTCTTGGTTCGCTATGTCTTCTCAGGGAACACGATTCTCGGACCCAATGATAACTAAATCCACGGTTGAGAGAAGTGGTTGATGATGCAGGCACGCATCATTGGGTCAGAGTTTCATATCCAGACTCTAATCAGTAACCGGTTTTTGGGTAAAATAATAATAATAATCTTTGTTTCCCTTTTTGAAAATTATTTTATTGTATAGGAACAGTCAATAAAAACTATGACATACAAAAAATACATCACTTATTGACTCAAACTTGGCGTTTGTAGATGGATCGTCGTGAACTACGGAGCTAAAAGGCGATTGCAAATATTGTAAAAAAAGTGTGACAAATTCAGTGAAGTGTTGTAAATGTAAAGCAACTTTTCACCCAAAGTGTTTAGTTCAAGCAGCCCAAGTGAAAAATGCATCTTGTTGGCATGAAATTGAAAGCAACGAATCTCAAACAGCTACATGTCGTCATGAAGTGAATCCATATGATATTGAAAATAATGGACTTCTGCATCAATTAAAGAAAGAACCAGAATCTAAATGTTACATTCTGATTGATAACTACAGTCTTTCGAGAGACAAAGTGCATTTTCTATTACAAAAAATCTCAATATTGAAGAATAAAAAGATAAGTACAAAAGTTGTTAAAGAAAAAAGCCATAAAGTGATTAAAGACACAAATATGGAAGAAAATCCGAAAAAAAAAAGTATAACAAGAGAGGAAGTTAATGCAGCAATCATGACAGCTGAAATGGCAAATATTATAAGTGATGTGCAAAAGTTCCAAGACAATAGAAGATCTATGATAGGTGGCAATCATGAAATACCTGATATTAGTACTATGCCTATGCCTCTCCACGTAACTCGACTAAAACCTGATATTCTGAAGAAACCATTGGAAAAACACTTTCCCGAGGTAGTGTGCGAGAATCACCCATCTAAATTCCCAGAACTCTATTCATTGATGAAAATCACAATCAATCATAAAAACTTTAAGAAAGCATGGAGACCTGAAGTTTGGCCCACCGGAGCACTAGTGTCACGTTTTTTTTTAGTGAAGAGGACAGCGCCATCAACACAGGTTTAGTTGGTGAGTCCAATATTAAGAAACCAAACCCTGCCGTCTCACCGAAAAACTGAGTTCATTTCACATAAATATTAAAAGTTTATCCAATAAAGTCGTTGAGTTACGGGTATTTTCAGATGAGTTTAATTACGATATTGTATGTTTATCAGAGCATTGGCGCACAGAAGAAAAACTGAAAAATGTAAATGTATCTATTCACTTTCTAGTTGCTTACTTCTGTAGGAAAAATATCAAGCATGACGGGGTTGTCATATATTGTAAAAATACCTTAAATCCACGAATTGTAGACCTGAATACTGATAATGTTGATGCTCTTGGATGCTCTTCTAGCTCAGTTATTAAAAAACAACATAAAAGTATTTTTACTGGGATATTTTGATATAGATTTCATGTCTGAGTCAACTTCATATTTCCAACTTAAATGCTTGCTATATTCCTATGGCCTTAAAATAACCATCAATAGTTCCACTCGAGTAACTGCTCAATCATCTACATGCATAAATATAATATCAAACCTACCTGAAAATTAATAATAACACTGGTGTTCTTGACCCCTGTCTCTCTGACCATAAAAGGCAGTTTGCTACCACCAATGGGGCTCCGGAAAAAAGGTCTCAGGAGTTTCAAAAACTACTTACTTGGGGTGAATTGGGATTATCTGAATACCCAACAGTTGGATATGGGTCGTTCTTCAGAAATCTTTATCAACATTCTTGTAAAATCCATCAAATTATATTTTCCACTAAAGAAACATATACCCACAAAAAATTATTTGAAATCAACATGGTTTGATGATGAACTTAAATAAATGAGAGTCAATCTCAAGGCTGCAAAAACGCAGCAGACATGTCTCGAAATCCATACTATATGGCGACATTAAGAGCCATGAAGAGAGATTATAAGCTTCAGTTACAAAAAAAAAAGAAGAGAATGACCAGTATATTTTGAGTTCTAGTAATATTTCCAAAGCCTGCTGGACTATAATAAATAGCGAAAGGAAGCCCTTAAATGTAAATAAACCACTAGATATATCAGGACAATGCCTGAATTACTTTTTCTGCAGCATAGCTGAGAATATTATTACAGCTCTTCCTGATCTTCCAATAAATGACCTAAATAACTCAAAGAGCTTTCCTTCACCCTGCGAATCTTTTTTTCAGGAGCCTATCTTCAGGAAGTTGTATACGATGAAATCTCTCAAGGACAGTAGTTCTCGCGAATACACGACATAAATAACCAAATGATAAAATCAGTAGCCGACATAATTACAATCCCACTAACAGCATTAATTAACGAAATATTTTTGATGGTAATATTTCCAGATTTTTTAAAATTCCTGGAGTGATACCTATACTTAAAAAAGGTTCTAAATCTTCACCGGATGATTACCGCCCAATTAGCATAATATCTATAATTGGGAAAATAATTAATCGCTTTTATTCTTACTATGAAAAAGGGTTCTACTTCCAACACTCCACAATATGGCTTTCGAAGAAGTAGGTCTACTACTCACGCAGCTTACAATATAATTTCCAACATAGTCGAAGGGCTTGATCAGGGAAAGCACTCTTCTTTGACGCTATGTGACCTGACAAAGGCTTTTGACTGTGTATCGCATACTATCTTGATGGAAAAAATTAGTTACTATGGTGTCCGGGGCATAGCTCTCAAGATTGTCCAGTCTTATCTCACAAATAGGTACCAATATGTTGAAGTGAACAACATAAAGTCAGACCTCAAAGAAATGAAGCATGGCGTCCCTCGTGGCTCCATTTTAGGTCCACTATTGATCTATAAAAATTATCTATGCAGTTTTATAAAACCAGCAAGATGTACCTTGTTTGCAGATGATACGACTCTATTATGTTCTAGCAAAGACTTAACCGCTTACAACTAATGAAGCAAGATGGCGAAACATTGTCATATAAATTGTTTGCTGGTAATAAGCTGACTCTGAATGAAAATAAAACTCAAAATTCAATGGTATCTTCCAATCCAAATATGCATCCAACAAAAAGTATAAATTTTTTAGGATTCGTTATTGATAATAGATTGAGCTGGTCTGATCATATCAAAGCTGTGACTAGCAAACTTTTCACTGTCTTGTTTGTGCTGAGACGATTGAATAATGTGGTCAGCTTGATGACGCTCATATGGTAATCTGATTTGGGGTAATTCAGGTAACTACATTAGTGTATTTAGGTGGCAGAAAAAGGCCATAAGAATAATAGCCAAAGCAGGTTACAAAGATCACTGTCGTCCTCTTTTTATTCAACTTGGAATTATTCCACTTTCAACATTATATATCTATATAGTTCTACTAAAGATTCATGAAAACTTTAGTAAATTTGACAGGCATTGTGATATTCAAGCATATGGAACGAGATCCTCAAGTTTATTGAACACGCCCAGATATAAATTAACAATTAGTAAGAACAATTCACTAAACTTACATTTGTATAATCATCATCTTCACTCATCTCTAAAGGCATTAAGCCTCGCAAAATTCAAATCTACTATTAAGAAGTTTGTTCTCCAACACCATTTTTTTAACATTGAGGAATACATTGACGTGGCAGGGTCTTTAACTTATGAAAGACCTCATTAAATCCTTAGTTCATTGATTTTGTACTTACAGTTTTATTTGATCTACACTTTTTACTTTCATATATATTTTTTAATAGATGATTTTATCCTTGTAACTCCAAACAAGGACTTCTGCATTTGTGACTTGCCATAAATGTACTATAAGTATGTAAAATGGTCAAATAAAGTACTCTACTACACTATAATTAAAATAGTTTTAAACTCCGAAGATTTCGTCAAATTCAAACTTAAAATGTTGAACTTCAGAATTTTTGGTGAAAGAGAATAAAAAGTTTCGATATATGTCAATAACCAAAATATTTCACCACCAATCAATTACTACTTACGTCTTCCTGGGAGAGGCATGTAACCCTCTGGACACTGACAATAGTATTTTCCAGGTTCATTGATACACTGACCCACATTGCAAATATTCGGATTTTCTAAACACTCGTTGATATCTATACACATGAATCCTGAAGGATCTAATCGATAACCTTCATTACAAGAGCACATGAAGCTTCCAAAAGTGTTTGTGCAATGACCATTCTGACATATATTCTTATGTTCTTCGCATTCATTGATGTCTTCCAGAACAACCTATAATTCATAAATGATAATTCTTTTATGGTTTTTGGTTAATTTTTTCTTTACTGTTATATCATTAGGTTTGTAACCCATTCCTCCTGGACACAGCTGCTGATATTCCAAGCTGTCTGGTGTTGGACAAAGTTCACAGCGAGGCCCCCAGCCCTGGCCCACAGAGCAGCAGCATGAAGCTTTAGTAACATAGTCTGCAGTTGGTTCAGAACACCTTCCAGGACCATCGACTTGTAAGAAACATCTGGAAGTTCTCCTATCTGAAAGGAAAGTGATATCATTGATGATATTATATATCAGCAAACTGACATAAGGAAAAAATTACTACATGGCAATAGTTTCAACAGTTTCACCACATTTTCGTTGAAATAATAAATATGGTGAGTCTGAACCTGTAGGGAGTATTAACTGCAAACATATGATATATATGGAAAAACACTCGTGTACACATAGATCTGTCTGTTTAAATCTGCTTTTCCGTTAACCAGCTATCGGCACCCCTACGAACGACAACCCTCAGAAGTCAAAACTTGTGCGAGCTAAGGAGTAACGAGCTCTTACCTTTTAACGTGTAATTCCTAACACGGGTTGGACCATAGCAGGTGAAAATAGATCGTTCAGCCTGGGGCTTGAACCACCGACCAACACGAGGGTTGATTTGAGTGAGTGAACAAAACACCCACGTCGAACCGACCGGCTACAAACCGATGAAACAAATGAATCAATAACGACACTATTCTTGCTTTCTAGCCTAAGCATTCTAGTAATGGATTCATTTATGCCATAACTAGTACCATGGCGAGGAACCTTGGACATCTCTGACACTTTAGTTCTCCTTGAATTCACATTCGAATTAATCAGTTGCATTGAACCTGGACAACTCATATCCTTGTTTATAGTTTTATGTAGAAGTCATAAGTCAATTTGGGCTAGGCGGTGCTCTAAAGTAGCTAAATTCAGCAAATTCAAAAGTAGCAGAATATCACAGTACCGTAGTAGTACTCATAAATTTCTTTTGTACTTTCTCAATTCTATAAATGTCTGTCTGATGTAGAGAATTCCATATTCCACAGTTACATTCTAACACTGAGCATACCAAAGAACAATACAATATTCCACAGAAAATTTTCAGAGGATCATTGAACAAACTCCTCTAATTTCAGCAACTTAAATACAATGTGATCAACATGAATTTTAAAGCTTATCTTGATATCAAACAACACTCCCTAGTGTTGAACGCTATTGATCAATTGCAGATTAATACTTTTGATTTTATAAGAATATTCAATAGGGTTCACAATTCTTGATAATGTTTTTCGTAACATTTATTTTCATTTAAGAGGAGCATGTTTATATCACCCGAACGAGATGAGTTGCCTAAGTCTAGTTGCAACAGTTCTGCATCACAAGTATTGTCAATTACCCTACAAAGATAGAAATCATATACAAACATTAAATGATGGCTGTGGTGTATGATATCTGACACATTGTTAATGAATACAAGGAAGAGTGTTGGGTATATAGAACCAGCATATTTGAGTAATTCTTTCATTATATAACTATCAATTTTAATATATTAGCTTTGATACCTAATGCTAGGAGCTTAGCTATGAGACGATCATCATTGACCCTATTGAAAGCTTTACGAGAAGTCAGTATAAATAGAGTCAATCTGGTGTTTGCTCCCTAGGTTATTCAAATTTTTTTTTGAAAAGTCGATAAATCAGTAGTAGTGAATCTACCATGATGGCGTTCATTAATTGTTTTTCAAATCGAACGTGACTTTTAGTTATCAAACACTCAATAACCCTGAATAGATCCAGTGGCTTATTTGTTGACATTTTTATGAAAAATTTGGAGTTGTTGTTAGACTGATTTGTGCATCAAGAGGGCAAAGTCATATTACTAGACGATTTTAATATTGAATACAAAATTAACTCTTTACCTACATAGGAAGTATTATATCTTATAAATTCCTATGGATTAGTACATGCAATACAACTAGAATTTTCATTCAAAAATCGAGTTGTTTGGACAACATTCTTACTAATTTGAGCTCAAGCTTTTACAAATCAGGGGTCCTGGAACCCTGCCTCTCAGATCATGCTGGTCAATTTATTATAATTCAATCAATCAATCAATCAATCAATTTATTCATTGTAAATGAAACATTACAACGTCGTTATTTCCTTAGTATTAAAATTAATATTAAAATACATATACACAGAGATGCACAGATCAAAATAAAATAAATAAATATATACAAAATTATCAT